CAAAGGACAGTGAAAAGGAGCATTACAGATTTTAGTGCTGCTCGATTTCTGCATTACAAGTGAAGTTATTTATGACATAATCCCACTCTTCTACCAGGCATTAGCTGCAATCAGGCCTCCACCCTCCTCTTTCAGACCTATTTCAGATAACATAAGCAGACAGGCAGAGATAGCCTTTAACTACTATTCATAAACATATGCTTGAGTCAACCCACTTTAAGGAGTCAAGATTTCTCATTGCACACAAAACACACACCAAATTGCTATTTAAATTACCCAAATCATGTTGAATCCTGCTCAAGATGGGCTTTAGTTACAATGCAGGATTATAAAGAAGATAAAATGGAAAATCACAAATCTGCCAGATGGCTGTGTCTCATCAACATGCCTTGTGTCTTTAGATTTGTGTAGCACAAAAACAAAGACAATTCATTCACTACTGTCTCTGTCTGCTGTGCAATTTCAAGTATAACACCTAGCATTAAAACATCAGTTTAGATCTATTGAAATCCAACTGAAAGAGCTTGCAGCTAAAGGAACCTGTATGAAGTTAGTGTATGAAGCTGAAGCAGAGGTAGAATTTATATGTGCATTTGAATGAAACAGTCAATGACCCATTGCATGTCTATTGAACTGTTGTGTATTGGAAAAACATAAGATTTAAAGGCTCTGTACCTCATCTTAAAAACGTGAAAAACTACTCCTCATTTTCTTGTAGTACCCTAATGCATTCCAAGTACCCTAATTATACAAACTCGTTTAACAACTTTCAGAGACGAGAGCAGAGTTTTGCCATCACGTTAAAGCTAAACATTCAACACTTTACATACTCCCGACATCAGCTGCCCCTACCCCACGTATTGCATCCTTGGACCACAAATGATACTGACCAGTAACTACTATAAACCAAGAAGACCGCACAGAAGCTCCACTTTTGGAGATGCTTTGAGCCAGATGGCTAATGATACAATTTGGTCTTTCACAAACTTGCTCAGGTCTTTTTTATGTGCTTCAAACAAAACAAACAAAACAACATAGTCATGAAGAGCTTACAGTGTCATGTTCCACACACAAACAAGTGCCATAATGAAGACATAATCAGCGCTTTTCACTTTACCTAGTGGTCAGTCATCATGACGATTAGCCTGACCACCGTGGTTGCAGACAAAATGATAGTAGGTGTTGTATTGGAGACACTTACATAGTCTCAGGCCCAAACAGGCATATGGCCTCCTCTAAACAACTTTGTGAGTCTGCACTTTAAGACCAACAGCCGTAACTGATTCGATTAGCATCTGACCTTTCCTCACTCAACAACAGCCTCAGTGCAATCAAACATTGGGATGCACAACGTCTCGACTCCACACCACCGCGCCACCATGTCCTTCAAATCCTGTTCAGGGGTGCCAGGGGCAACACATTCTAACTCTGGAAAACCTGTGGAACAGCCAAGCCCAACAGGTTTTCTATAAGCCCCAATGTGACCCCAATAAATATATGACTCTATTTATTATTTAGGTGCACAAAAAAAAAAACATTCTAGGAAATTAGTCTATTATTAAATTCTGTACCCTAAATCAAAATAAAGTATGTATGTTCAACAAGGTTATCCTAATTCCCCCATGCTTTTCAGCCTTTTGGCCTCTGTATACAATAAGTCACACAATTGCCCTTTCCCTGTTTCCCTCCATTGTTAACATGTGCACGGACATTTTGAGACGTAAGCAAAATGTCAGCACCAGCACCAATGAAAGGGCATCAGCGAAAACACAACTCTGCAATGACAAGTTCATAAGGCTCCTTCAAAGCTTTCATTAAGCTGTATTGCCTTTTATCTGAAGTTGGAGGGGATTATGGAGTGAAGTGGCCCATAGGTTTGTTTGCAATCACAACAAATGAAGTCTTTAATGTCAAACGGCCCATAACTCTGCGTCATGGTTGCGGTCTTCTCTCTAATATCTGCGTACAGGCATTTATGAGCAACGCATAAAGTCTCTGAATACCTCTAAATGTCCCAGACACTTGCCATCTCTAGTAAACTCATCACCAACTCCCAAAGTCAAAACAAAGTCGTAACAAATGAAAATCTCCTAATTACAATGCCCTAATAAGACAATATAAAACAGAATAAACATTGTGCTAACTTAACTCTGGCCATGTCACTGTAGTAAACACATATCTTAGATTCTGAATGCTTGTGTTAAGAGGAACCATGAGGTATTGACACTGCAGTGTTTCAGAGTATGTCCCTACTGTGTTTACCAAAACCTAATGCACGCCTTAAGGGGTGTGTTTGCGATTCCTTGTTCTTAAATCGTTTTTTGCAAAGATCAGCCTAAGGGTAATAGCATTCCTGTATTCCTGCATGTGCCAGGAATACAGAAAGTGAAAGTTGTCAAAGCCATGCTCTTAGTTGCAATGGGATATTCTGCACAATATGTGGTAAAGTTTAACATTATGATCAGTTAAATTGAATTTTGCAAAATATGTGTATTACCTGTTAAGATGACCAGCTCTGTTTATGTGATGCACGATCTTTGAGGCAATACATTTAGTGAAGGTGTTTTGTGAAGGTGTTTTTGAACTTTAAAAACACAAAGGATTTCTAAATCATCAGTGGGGGAGTACTCAAAAATGCATGAATTAAACAAAACCCAATTCCAGTCAGGTTTAAATGCAGATTGAACATTACAACGTGGAAAAAGTAGGAGTGAAGCCTTTTTTTGAGCTACAATATCCAATATTTCTCTTGGCAAGGCTCAGAACTTGTTGGAAAGGTGTACAAAAAATTGCAAATAATAACTAAATATATTTTCTCAGATACATATTTTGTTTTTATGGTGTCCATGTAAACATACAGTTACCTCTTTAGCTTTTATTATCTTCTATTTCCATTAGAAATAAATGCCATTATATGAAAATAGATATTACCAATAGATTGAAATGAATTACCTTTTTGTAAAATAGGCAGAAAAGGGTAAGTTTTGTTCCTTTCAAAGTAATCTGTTCAGTCTAGTATAGTGCCTGACATTTCACAGTTTTTACCCACACAGCACTCACATCATGAGCCCTGTCATCGCCCATATATATTGGCCGTATATTGATATTACTAGTTAAAAGTTCATAAGCCCTTTAACAAGCTGTACAAAGCAATTCCAACAATATGAGCACAACCACATAGGCACAAGTCACTGTCACATTTCACCTGTCAACAATAAAAATACTCATCATCCAAACTGACTATGTATAGGTGTCCTGTGGTGTATAAAGACACATGCCTCCAGCAGTGTTCCTCTGTCTCTGGAGCGCTGCTTTGCACTTGCTACAGTCTTCGTCTTGCATGCTTTTGTGGGGGATGACATGGCTGTTGCTTCTTCTTAAAAAAAAGCCATGAATGTACTCCCGGAGTCTGCTTTCCTTTGCACTGAGAGGCTGGGATGAAAAAGCTCTATATAACATCATTTCTGCCTTTCCGTTGGACTGCCTGGCAACCTGCCACATGAAGCTCGTCAAATTCAACCAGGAAAGCCAAATGAAAAAGAAGAAGAGAGGATGATAAGCCATAACATCTTGAATACGCAACCTGTATCAATTCATTCATACATAGAAACATAGAGGAAGCACTGTGGCAAAGAAATATAGACTAGGGTTGACAAAAGTATTTTGCTCAAAGTCATTTAAGCAGGTATCGATAGTATAAAAAAAAAAGTCAAATTCACAGAACAGAAATGAACCTTCCCTGAATTGCTTTTAGCTGTATCAGAACAAGTATAAAGCCACATAAACTAGTATATGCTCATGGACCACTATGGAACTGATTTAGATCACTCAAGGATTAGATAAATATACAGCACATTGTAATATAAAAGAAAGTACTTTGTAGTGAGGTTGAAGATTACAATCTATTTTCTAAATAGAGTTTTTTTTTTTTTCTTTTTTTTTTTTATTATCATTATGGTATCAGAATCTGAGTATCAAGTCTATTCCTTAACACTGAAATTGAGTTTGAAGTTTTAGTATTTTGACAACACTATTATAGACAAGTTTGGGGATCATTAAGATCAAAATAAGATCTTTGCAACGCATTTGAAAGAGAATGGAAGGAGTTTGTTGACAGCATTTTAATCAGGAACTAAAACCAAATATGAATCATGTGTTTTTTCAAAAACATAACATAAAGAATCATAGCAAAAAACCATCATGTGCATGACAGCAAGCACAGCAAGAGAACAAAACAAGCATACATATAACATTGCTGCACTACCCACACACGATAACATGTTCATTTGAAGGGAGATAGGGACTTTCAATAATCCGCCCATAGCATTACCAGTGGTTGTGGCAAGAAATTCTAATTTGCTGGGGCTGCTCGCAGTGCCATTTCAGATTTTGAGAACAAATATAATAGCATAACCCTAGCATTAAGGATAACTGTCAAAAACAATGTCTTATACTTTGGCTCAACTCTCATGAAGTAGACACCGCCTCAAGTAGAGCAAATACAATCACGATGACAGGTACCACGCATTGGCCAAGTCTCTGTTTGCATAGCTCACCAGTTTAATCATTAACTCTTAAGATAGGCTCTACTGTACAAAAATAGTAAAGGTATTGACAAAAGTAGCATTATATAATAGCAATTCTAAATATTTGGATTAAGGCTGCACAATATATTGCAAACAAATCGCAATTTGACAAGGTATAATTATCAAATTACAAAGACTGCAATTATTTAGGTAATAGAATGTCTACTGTAAACAACAAAATACCCTGTTATTGAATAAAAATGCACGGAATTCTTCAGTCTTTTGTCAAATTCTCCGGAAGTGGTTTACAATTAACATTTTGAACAGAATCCTACTTATTAAACATATTGCAAATCTAACTCAACATCTAACCCCAACTGCAGTCTTAACTTTGATTAAATTTTGAAACAGAAGCAAAACAAAAACGTCAGGAGCAGTGTACTCAAAAATATAACGATAAAGAATAAAACTTACTTGATGAAGCACCGTGCCCCCTCGAACGTGTATCCTTCTTCCCATCCCGTGGGTAGATCTGTGGACAAGAGTTGGTGGATGATCAGACAGATGCTGTACGTTGCAAATTAAAGTTGATCTCCACAGGCCAGCCCAACAGCTGTCAATGCAGCAGACACTCACTGTATATTAGCATTAAGGGGGAGCTCTGCACTCACTTTGAATTATACATGTGCAACTTGTTAGGATGCATGTAGACATAGCCTGGTTGAATGCTATGATGTGATTGATGATGATTCATGACGGAAATTATGTAGTCACAGTAGCTTTGTCGTACTTAAAATGATAAGTTAACTAGAAATATTTATGGGATAGTTAATGGGCAATTAGATAATATGAAACAGAAAGGAATGGGACACATATGTAAGTTTTTGCAGGACAATACAATTGAATATACTACACTATCATGTACATAGTATATAAATGGAAATAGTGAGTAGTAATGAAAAAAATATATATCTTGTTATGGACCTAGGGATTAAGACCTACTACAAATATTACTACCACCACTACTAGTACAAGTACTACTATGTGATAATTGAAGCTACATGTGCGGGTAAAAATATTAGAACATTTGCCTACAACTACTCTCTGCATTGATGTGTAACAAATTTGATAGTAATTAAATAAACTCTGTTATGTTGACACTTGCTCCGTGCACATGTTAGCTAATCGAGCTCATTTGAAGTTGATAGCTAAGCCGCCATAGCTGAGGTGACTGAGGAGCATGTGGACAGCGTGGAGCGAGTTATTAGCGGCTTTACGTCCTGTGCACGGTCAGCAGGCAGCGCAGTTTGTGAATGACTTCAGTGTGATGTAATGCCACACACTGCATCAATAAGTCGCACAATGAAATTACTTTGCACGCTTAGCAAAAGTCCGTGTGGCAAGTTCACAGGTTGCTAGCGACTGACAAGGTGGACATGCAGGACAGGGCTGACTCTGGAGAGCTCCAGCGCCAAAGCACAGGGCGGGCGCAGGCAGGGTGTCACAGCCTCTGCTCTGCCCGGGAAGAGTCGCTCGGACGCGGGCGATGACAGACCGTGACATGATCAACACGGTCCAGACAGGGGAGAAACTTGATAACAGTTAATGACAGCTCACCTGGAGTTTTCCTGTGGCCGGTGATCAGCGCCTCGCCGCTCACGGGATGCAGCCAGGTTGTACTCTTGGCTTCTTCGCTGGAAAGACAGGGAAACACAGTGGTTATGTGAAGGCGAGTTTGCTGGAAGGAGAAACGGACAGTCATAACTTAAAGCTTGTTCAGTGAGCGGTTATTTACTTGACGAAGAAGACACGTCCATCCCGAGTGACCCCGTAACTCCATGTAGACGGCAGACAAGATATCCACTCGGGCTGTAGCTCCGCCGCCATGTCTGGCACTGGCAGTACTGTATGACAGTGGCGCGGCACCGCTCCGCTCTCAGCGCGTACGCGGAAACCCTGGCAACGGAGCTCGCGGAGAGGAGCCCAGGGGGTAGGGCATCAGGTACAGTCACTCCAGCGGGCAGAATAGGGCATCTGATGGAGACGTGTGAGGCATTTTTGATCACAGGTTATAGAATTGTCAACTTCATAATCAAAGTTGGAAAATATGGCTGTTCCTAGTTGAAAGCTTGCTCATGATTTGGCAGAAAATTTACTAAATAGCCCAAAATAATTTTCACTGCTGCTGAGATTTTGTGTGTGTGTGTGTTTTGTTATTGGATGCACGTCATGCGGCTCATCTGTGGTGAGGGGCAGGGTCACAAACCTGTGAGGGAGCTCCAGGGCAAGAGGAGCCCAGCTGCCCCTCCTAACCATACACACATCTCATCCTGCTTTGACTTTATAGGCTACATTTTCTCAATTAAATGATAACATCTTGCCCGAAATGGTCTTTTGTCTGACCACCACCGATACCCTGATTAAAAACCTAAATGTTTTATTAAGTGGGATAACATAGCCCATACCTTTTTCACCCATTCAGAAAAAAAAAAAAAAACAATTTATGTGCAGATCCTAATCCTCAAACCAGATGAGAAAAAAGGGGGCCCCAGTTGGCAGTATCCTCCCCTGGGAACCCATTACTTGTTTATTCAGTCCACCACAGCAACATGGGGACATGACATCAAAAGAGACACAACAACACATATATTGTACTAATGACCACTATTTCAACTGTACCACTTGGTCCCCCTGGTCTCCACCCTTGGGTCATTGAGAGGAGAAACTGCCTCATCAGCCTTTCACCCCACACAAAGGGAGACATCTAACACCTCTGAGCCTGGGCCGATTGTGGGCATCATGTTGCATTGTACAGCGGAGACATGTGCGGCGCTGTGTTTACGAGGAGGCTGGGCGGACAGTGGGACAGTGGGACAACACTCCAAACACATGGTCAGGTAACTAGAGGTGGAGTAGCCAATACATGTACTTAAAGGTGCTGTGTGCAACATTTCTGGTGGACGGTCCACTTCCTACTTGTCTCCATGAAAATGTCATTGCTTTGGGTGTTTCTATTGCTCAAAAATATAATGATTCTTTCTTTGTATAGGGGCGACTCTCCACAGATCTGAATTGTAATGTAGCTTAATTCTGTAGCCTGCTTGTCTCCCTCATGGTAGATTGGTTTAAGCTATAATGTAGAACATTGCAAGATAAAGCAATAATATTTCCATTGAGACAAGCAGGTCCGGATCCTCCACTACAAATGTTACACAGTGCACCTTTAAGTAAGAGCAACTTTACTTTAAAATAATATTAGGCTACTCAAGTAAAAGTAATGTCTATTTGGAAAAAAATACTACAGAAAAAAAGAGTAATTTTAAGAGCAACTGTCTGGACCTAATAATTTAAATTATTACTTATTATTCATTTCAGAATGCCTTTATTGTCATTGCGAAACAGAATTTAAAAGCCTCACCTCAGTGGTTCTCAGTTACACACACAAGACATAATAAATTAGTAAGACACATAATAAATTTATAAGATGGATAAAGAAATTAGTTGTACTATTTGAAGTTGATTTAGTTGTGAGGACAAAGCTTAAAATAATGAGCATCACTTGGTATTTTACAAAAATTTGACAAATGAAATCATATCTGGATTTTAAATCAGAAAACCTTTCAATTATAGACTTACTCACCATACCATAATGAATTACTCAAGTAAAAGTACTGTTACTTCAAACTAAATATTACTCAAATAGAAGTAAAAGTAGGATGTCCAAAAACCACTCCAAGAAGTATAATTTCTTTAAAATAGTTACTCCAGTAAATGTAAAGTTGAGAATAATATCAGCCACTACAGGTAACACTTTCTGTTGGGGTAGAACTGGAAAGGAGGGGTAGGAGTTTGAGAGCAAGTGGTCAGATGACACTAACACTGGAGTCTTTGTTTGTTTTTAGACCTACTTTTTGGCCATTGAAAGGAAAAGAAAAATAACGCATTGTTTTATTTTCAGAAAAAAAATTGACAGTTTGAAGATGCACAATTTGTTTTTCTTAGATGTGAGGAAAATGATCAATTTTGTTTTCAAGCAACAGCGTGATAGAACATCCTTTGTAGAAAAAAAAAAAAAAAAGTGGATTGCTATTTTTGATTTGAGGACCAGACAACAGAGGTGGGTAGAGTAGCAGAGAATTGTACTCAAGTAAAATAGACAACTAAAAATCACGTCTGAAGGAGCTATGCAAGCAGCAAGAAACACACTATCAAATAATATCGTTAAGCATTCGTCACATATACATAGACACAGAAGTAACCAAAACCTTCACTCATGTAAGAGTAAGAGGCCATGTTGCACTGTAAAATGAATATATTACTCAAGTAGTATTGTGTCTGAAAGCTACCCTGAGAATTACAGCCCACTTGTGCTAAGCAAGACTAGTCACAATAGATAAAAGCAGATACAAGTTGTTGCATGTAGTAATTTTCAAAAATTGGAATTTCAATGATACTTGCTACACAAAGTAAAATAGAAAGTAATTTTAAATCCTGTATTCTTTGTTTCTTTCTGATTTGGGGTAGTGGGGCTTTAGGATCATCGATACAACTGCATTCGCTAATTATTATTATCAGAAGTTGCTGACGTCTTTAAAAATGCTGTCATGTTACAACAGGGAACTAAAAGGGAAACTCTTGAACAGCATTTAGAAGCCCTCCTCAGTACTTAGCTTTCAGACCGTTAATAGGGCCCAGCGGAGTGGAAAGGATTGGATTAGAGCCAGAGATCTACCTGTATGTGCTTGTACACCTGTGGGATCTGAAAAATGTCTGATCACGACAACTCACTTTTCTGCTAAGACTAATTCATTCCCATTAGTATCATTTAACATAGCTTACGATTCAGAAAGAGCATCGTTATTCCTTATTCTAGGTTTAAGTAAGGATGCACTGATCCAGATCTTTCATTTCTGATACTGATACCATAGCTTTAAGTATCTGCCGATACCTGATATCAGCTGATACTGCGCAAAGACTAAAAGTAGCATTTAATTCCTTTAAACAAAAATAACTAATATATAAATAAAAATTCGAATTCTATGACTTTCTGGAGTGACTAAGACTCATTCATAGTTTTATTACATCAGTTTAAATGTCCAACCAGGATATTTAGAAGCTGATATCTGATCCAGCCATTTTTTTCATAATGGACAGATCCCTAGATTTGAGTTATAACCTTTAAAATTACTAAAATGTAAAAATAGACAGTCAAGAAACCAGTAAGCTGTATGATTTTTTTTTTCCTGATTATTTGATTAGTCATTAGATTAAGAAAGGCCAATGAATATGAGGTTTTTTACTAGATTTAACCCAGATGAAGCTAAAGGTAAGCTGCTCATTTTGATCAGAAATGTCAGAAACATCTTGTCTCAGCACATGTTTTGGGATCCAGATAAAAAAAATATTAAATTACTAACTTGTTTTTATGACTTCATTTAAACCAACATGCATTTAACTTAGAACTATGAGATTTTCGAGTTATAACAAGCTTGAATTGTGAACGTAGAATTGTCTCTTAAAGATGCACTATATAACTTTTCTGTTGGGGTCTCCTTGTCTCCATGGAGATGCTGAGGCTTTGCTGTAACAGTATGACAATAAAAGTACCTTGCACTAAAAATATGTATTGTTACTGTTAGCCTTTCCGTAGATCTAACTTCCATGAGATAGAATAGTTTAATGCTCTACTGTGGGACATTCCAGGCAAAGGACAGTTCACATCTCCATAAATGCGAGTAGGTAGCAAAAGTTACACAGTGCAGCTTTAATCATAAAACGTATCTTTCTGTGCAGGTCTTCAAAAAAATCCACCAGTCTTAACACATCTGAGGAGTCAAGTTTAAACTCTCCAGTACAAACAATGACCAAAACTCCAGTCGTCCGTCCCCAGCGCATTTCTCCCCTGCAGTCGACAGTTGCCAAGGTGAGTAAGACCAAATAAGCCTCCATAACTTATCAGCAGCATCCAAAGCTCTGGTGAGAATTAGTACAGCCACCAGCAGCAGGAGCAATGAAAGCACTTTGTTTCTTGGCAGGGAGAACCAGCCAAACACAGTGTAAGAGCGCGGCATTGTCAACCTGTGCCGATTTATTCAAACCTTTTATCGTTTGGACCCAAATCTCTGGCATTCAATAAATGTCACTCTCCACTTAAACCGAGGCTGATAAGTATTACACTGAAATTCTCACAGCTGGACATTTGCATTCTCTGCACACTTTTGTTTGTTATTTCAAAAGGAGTTTAACAAAAGACACATTGCTAATGTTACTCAATAGGATTAACATGAAGGAGGGCCATTGTCAAACATTAAATTTGCAGACTATGAAAAATTGAAATCTAAATTGTGTTTTACAAGTTTTGGGAAAGAGTTTTGACTTGTTTGCTGCAAAACTAGAGGCGCACCATTGCACTATGCCCTGTGTTTTCTAGCAGAATGACTGGCAAAATGTCATTGCTTCTTGAATGTTCCACAGTATGACATTAAATGTATTACATATCCAGGGAGACTCAAAGATGGTGTCACCAAGCAGAGGTGGGGGCTTGCAAGTTGTGACTTGGACTTGAGTCAGACTTGAGTCACTATATTTAGGACTTGAGACTCAACTTGATAAAATGGACTAAGACTTGGGACTCAACTTGAACTTGAAGGTCATTGAGTTGGGACTTGACTTGTACTTGAGGCCTGTGACGAGAAAACTTGAGAAGCACTTTTAAATCTGAATTCTTTCTATCCTCACCATAATGATTCACACTAAGATATTAAGGAATATAGGATATAAGGAAAATTTTACTAAATTAATATCTACAACTTTTATATACGCTAGTAATATTCATATATAAATATGCCATGACTTTTAAGTACAATTTATCTTAAAATTCATATAAATTGCAGAAATTTAAGCTATATTTAGTGCTTTGGTTTAAAGACTTGAAATGACTTGAAACTCAAAGCAAATGACATGGACTTGACTTGGACTTATAGGCCAGTGACTCGAGACTCGACTTGGACTTGCCTGTATTTGACTTGGGACTTGATTTGGACTTCAGGTCAAAGACTTGAGACTTACTTGAGACTTGCAAAACAAAGACTTGGTCCCACCTCTGTCACCAAATTACTATTCAGATGTGAGGAGGGGAGATGCTGCAAACAGTTACAATGCGTATTTTTAAAGTATATTTGATCAGATATGTTTAATGTCATACTGTGGAACATTGTAAGCAAAGCAACATCTCCATGGAGACAAGGAGATGACAGACCCCCCACCAGAGAAATTACACCTTGCATGTATAAATACTGCTTCACACATAGACAATAGACAATTCACAAGTAGTTTCATTTTTTGGTTGAAAGTATAGGGTTTTTCTTTGGATTTAGACATTAGACATACTGTACATTTCAGCCCTAAGCCTATATTACTAAAGAAGGGCATCTGGACTGAAATGCCACTCACTGCAGTGAAAAGTCAGATGATGAGAAACCATGAGAAAATAAAGAGAGTTATTGTTGAAAAAAAAAAAGATCTCAAACAATGATTGACATGAATTATAGCCTAGTTATACAGTTATACCATTTTTCATGCACTGATGTGAATTGTGGTCTTCTAACTTGATTGCTTTACCCGAAGAGGCTGGGGTTGTCTGGGCTCAAAGACACAGGGTAGACCGGAGGCATCCCTGTGTAATTAATGGTTGCACATTATCAAGCAGCTGTTCCAGAGCTTTGTTCATCTGCCAGCTCAGCAATAGCCCTGGTGCCTGTCTGCGCGAGGTAACTCACTGAGGAGCCATTCTCAATATGTGAAGAAGACTTCTCCATAGGCTTGTATCTTATGTGGGTGGTAATTGAAATGCACTTAGTGAATATAGCCATTATTGCAATGGTGTTCATACCCATTCTTATTGATATAACTATGATGTAATCTGTTTTCATTTCAGCTAGGGATGTCACAATACCAGTTTTATTGGGACTGTATTATGCAATTATGTTATAATGCCTAAAACGTACCTGGGGTTGTGTTTTGTTTCATTCACACATGTTTAATACACAAATCTGGCATATTTATGCTCAGCCATAAACCACTCTGTTCCATCTTGTGATGTCATGTGGTTATACAGGAAGTGCTCCACAAGTCTATACACCTTCACTAAAATCATCTGAATCATTTCAGCCCTGGAATATCTTCTGAACAACAGGTAACAGGTAGCTGTTCACTTGAAAACTACTGCTTAATGATATCACATGGTGGAACAGAGCATTTTGATCTTTGGAGATGTAGTTCCGTTGGTATGTTTTTGAGGAGGTAACAACATTCTAACATGACTAAAAGCTCACAAGAGTAAGTCTCGCATAATAAAGAACATTAAAATGACATTTTTAAAAAATAATTTTTTAATTGAATTACTTAATTTTGATTCTAAAACAGTCACTACTAATATTTTTAGTTCCTGGTGGTGACCTTAATAATCACAGTAATTTTGATATCCCTAATTTCAACACATAGTATCATTTGTCAGTCTTGCCTGAGCCGCAAACCAGGGCTGCTATTATGTCCAGTCAAGTCAGCATGCGGGGCTCACAGGCAGATCTGGAAAAACACTTTTACTACTAATTCAGTTCATTACAGTCAGGGCAGCTTTAAAACTAATATAGGTCAAAACAGCACAGCGGGTCACTTGGCAAAGTTCATACCACATAAAACAATATAAAACTGTAAAAATACAAAAGGTATTTGTTGGTGTTTACATAAGAAAGGTACAATAAAATAACAAATACAGATTATTTTAGCACTGCTACTAGTGATCCACAAGGGACATAACTTGGACACAGTTGCTCAATAACTTATAATTAATGCCCAAGTTTAATAAACAAGAGAAGATCTGAATGATTTTAATAATATATTGTAAAAGGCACTGTACTGGATTTTTATTGTCTTTAAAAAAACAGAACTAGTTCATTGTAAACTGTTTGCAGCATTCCAGACTTATTCCTCACCTCAACACAGCATCCTATTATTCAGTGGCATTAGTTTATAAGCTCCTTTCACAATTTCAGGGGCCAGAGCCACAGTGGAGTTTTGCAGCCTTACTTCCTGTTTCTCGGACTGTAAAAACACTTAATAATTAGATGCAGACAGCATCTCATATTGAGCCTTTAAGCTGCTTTTGTTCTCAAAACAAATTTAGAATTTTTTCTTACATAAAAAGAATCTGACAGAGCTTCTAAAAATAGCAAGGCACCATTATACATGGGTATATGAAAAATAAGTCAGTATACACTATACAATAGATATAATTCACATTGTAATGGTTACCAAAGTCACTGTGATTTGTTATAATTTGCCATATGTGCTGAGTAATGACTCCATGGAAATAGTTTACACAATTCTTTGGAAAAATTCTTAACAGTTCTTAACAAAAGGGAGTGCAGGTCACTAGGTGTTGATAAGTAATAGTATGGAGGCTCTTGAAACGGGTGTACAGTTTTTATGCGCCTTGTGAATCATTTCATTGAATCAGTACTAGTCACAGCGGGATGAAAACTCCTCTCTGTGTGCCACTGTGATGACCTCACCTCTCCCACAGTCCTCTGGGGCGCTGCTATCCAAAATGTGTTTTCTCTTCCCTATGTTTTATGAGCTTTCCGCCTTGATATGTGTCATTACCATTGAAAAAGTGGCTTCTCCATGTGGTAATTAGAGGGCCTCGTGAGTGCCAGAGTCAGCGGTAAGTGAGAGGAAGTGCAGAGGAGCCACGCTGCTGTGAGAAAGCATTCAGAGGAAAAACATGTCTGCATAGATTCTGAATGTGTGTTTACTGATGGTATAAGGGCTGCCTATGGACCGCTCTTCACACATACTTTTAATGAAGGAGCCTCTTAGAGAAAAGTTATGTCATGGAAAATGGCACACTGGCTGTTACTTCCCTTACGCGTGGCTTTTTGTTATGTGAAATAATATTTACTTTCCATGGGTCATACAATCTAGTCCAGACAAGTTTAACATAGGCACTGTAAAGTAGGTTTCCACATTTGCTTTAATTATGCTCCCATTAAGTTTCTTTAAGAGGGGGACAAATTAAAGGTGCATTATGTAACTTTTCTGGTGATGGATACTTGTCTCTATGGATTTGTGAAAGTTCTGTATGGTATTAAACCTATATTCTTGCACTGATTTAACTACAGTTTACCTGCCTGTCTCTATTAAAAATATACATTCAATATCACACTGTGGAACATTTCAGGCAAAACAATAGCGCATGGCAGATCCCCAAACTGAAAAGTTACATAGGATCCCTTTAGAAAGATGCAAATCCTAAAACAATCTAAAGAAACCTAAATTAGCAGCAAATCATAATATGAACATTACAATATGGGTCTGTAATAAAGGTCTCTCCAATGAATATTTAAGACCTGATGCCCTTCCTGTCATGGTGTATTTAATAAGGCTTGGCACTGGCACACCTATGAGACATTTGCGACTATTCCTTTTGTTGTGTTTGTAAATCAAATTAAATGATTAATTTAATAGTATAGGACCTATTTAAGAAATTAGTGTAGTCATCAATTATTAATCATTTAGCTTGTCAGTTTAACTGACAAATGGCACTTTTTAAAGTCTGGTTTGAAAACATTAGCAAGTGTTTTTTTTTTTGTTTTTTTTTGTTTTCTGCTGTTTTATTAATGGAACAATTAGCATATCTGATAAAAACATTAGAGGATAAATTGCATTGCTTTTTAATGGCCAAGTAAGTAAGAGAAATGTCTCCATGGAGATAGATAGGATCATACTGTGGAACGTTCCAGGCAAAGCAATAACATCTCTGTGGTGACAAGACAAGTCAGTGGCAGAGTCAGACTCTCCAGCAAAATTATACTGCATTACAAACGTACATAGAGCACCTTTAAAGTACTTTTTGATAAACAG